GTTTTTTCTTCTATTTATCTATCACATTTATAAGATGCACTCGGTTTTAGCACAAGCTTCGAGGTGCGTGGAGTGAACGGTACGTAAGGTCGGCGGGTCGGCGTGCGACCGACCGGTCCCGCCGCCCCCCCTGCGTGGTGGCATTGGTTGGAGTGACAAAGGCGTAGGCGCATGCGTCCGACAAGCGGCGCGTGTCGCGGCCGACTGACACGCCGCGCGCCGCCCGCGCCTCTTCTCTTCACCGCACCTGCCGCGCCCGCGCGGTCGCATCGTCCGTCGCGAACTTGCGGTGCATCCAACTCAACCTACTACCAAGAAGGATTGTGCGACTGCGCAAGTACTACTTGGTTTGGTAGGTACTTGTAGTAAGTAATTCTCGCTACTTACAATAAACTAGATGTCCGCTCCACGCAGCGTGGTCTAAATATCTGCGACTTGTACCTACCTATTCTGGTGACAATATTTGTCCGTCGCCGACTTGCGGTGTATCGAACCCAAACTACTAGATCTACCAAGGAGAAGGATTAGGCGACTGCGAAAGTAACTACCCACTTCTTGGTTTGGTAGGTGAGTAGGTACTTGTATTAAGTAAGTAATCTCGATTCTTACCTATCTGATCCTATGCCTTACTTACAATAAACTAGATGTCCGCTCCGCTCAGCGAATACCTATCTGCGACCGACCTATACCTACCTACTGTGGTGGCAATAATTATGTTTTTTGTTTTGCGATCTATGCTAAAATGCATCAACCTATTAAATACCTAACCTACCAACTCTTAGCTTAAGTGAACTAAGGATGCGATTATTGCATCTATCGAATTCAAAAATAATTACGTTATTTACTAACAATAACAATGGCACCACATTTAATAAAACCTTTAAAACAATAAATAGATCCCGACTAAAGGGTTAATACGATACAATACAACAGTTTAGATACTTTTAAAAGGAACGTTATAATGTAAGTGTCCAGCAAAAAAGAGTAGACAAAAAATGAGGGCGCCACTTTGTATGAAATTTGAAAATTAAATGGCAACATTGACTATGAATGGCAACAATTTAGTATGAAAAATGTTTAGTTCCATTTTATTTAATTTCTACTCTTTTTTGCTGGACTGTACCTTCACTAGACGGCGCTAGGTTTGTTTTTTAATTGATTCCGAAAAACATAAATTTTTAAGTTATGTCACTTTTACTGTAGACATGCTTGTTGGCAGAAGGATTTTTTTTTTACTTTTAAATGCGATGTAGAGGTAGTGCGAGGTGTAATATTTGCGGGCAAGAAATTGTTACGAAACTGGACAACATTCTCAAACAAAATGACCAAGTGCGTGTTAGACACACATAAGATTCGCAAATAATAAAAACAAATGGCAATACGTAAAACTTTTAGTTTTCAAAAAACTTAAGTTACCTACTTACTGTCCGTTATAGTTTTCATTGTACCTAGCTACAGATTGAGACAGGTAGATTGTGGTAGATAGGTATTTCATATTTTTAGGGTGCCGTACCCAAAGGGTGAAAACGAAACCCTATTACTGAGACTACGCTGTCTGTTCGTCTGTCACCAGGCTGTATCTCATAAACCGTAATAGTTAGAGAGTGAAAGTTTTCAGATGCCGTATTTCTGTTGCCGCTATACCAAACTTTGGTATTTAATAGCAAAAAGTTTATAAAATAAATATGGAAAAATATTTTTGATATATTTGGTTATTTTTTATTACTTTTTCTCTAAACTGTCGTTTTTTATTATTCTTATACTTTAGAAAATAATTAATATTAAAAACATATTCAAAACTTATTTTATGGTTTGTTTATCAATTCAAATTTTCTTTTTTATTTTGAATTTCTATCTAGTGTGGTAATTTTTTTTATGAATTTTTCAAAAATGTCCAGTTTTTGGAATGCTGACCGTTGGTAGGGCAGTCTGGATAATTTTAGCGCAGAATGTAATAATAAAATATCTAAAATAGGTATATAATTATTTTTCTTACTTTAACTATCTTTATCAGCTTGTTTAATCTTTTTAAGTCAACCAGTTTTAAGTATTTAACAAAAAATATCTTAATGACTGTTGCAGTTCTGCAACAGTGCGCATTTAAGGGTTAGAATGAAATAAACATTAAGGGGCTCCCATACAAAGACCCGTGATTTTTTGTCAGATTTTAGCTTTGATGGTTCGGAGGCTGTATCTGATGAACGATAATAGTTAGACATTTGAAATTCGCATAGAATATAATCGCATAGAATATAATTGTATTACCTACCTATAACCTACTATTGCCACTATGACAAAAAAATACTAAAAAAAGTAAAATAAAATAAAAATCAAGGGGGCTCCTAGAGGGCTCCCAAACAACAAACATGATTTTTAAGCGATTTTCATTTTTATACAAAATGATCCGACTCGCACAACGGCGAAAATTAAAATTTTCTAGCATTTATACTTCAGCTGGAACTAATTATGGTTTAAAAACGCCCCCTTCAAAAGCAAATATTAAAATTATTTTTATCCGACTGCTCAGGAGGTTTATATTTTTGAGAGTAGGGTCAAGTAGGGATCGGTGACTCAGGCGGGTACATTGACTCACGCTTATATTTCGTAATAGGACAGCTATATCTATCTGTATTCTTAACATAATGGTAGCTCTTGATAACCAAACACATACAAACCAATCATCCGTCCACTCCAGTGCGGTTTGATTGTGAAAAAAATGTGCGATTGGTTTTGCGCCTCTAAAAATGCTTTTGAAGGTACCCTACATACATTTTTATCCGTTAAGATTAAAAGATTTAGGAAAATGTAATTATTATGATCGAAAGTGGTGTTCATATACTAAGTAATAAGCTAGATTTACTAGCTCTTAGAGTAGTCTGGTAATATTTGTAGGATAATTATTTCAAAATAGCGTTGGCGTCTACACTGGCTCAAATTTGAGTGGTACACAGTGACTCTAACATTTAGTACTGGCTCATCTCTCTATTTTTAGAAACATTGACAGACAATTATAAAATATTTCTTATGGCAATAGTAATGATATGAAAAGAATACTTTAACAAATATAATTGATTAAAATGCATAGTTTCAATAAATATTATACTTGTACGAAAGGGTTGCTAAGTCCATATAAACTGTTAGAGTCACTGTGTACCACAGGGGTTGAGTCAGTGTAGACAGGTACTAGTACACAGTGACCCACCTTTTTCTAGAAAATCTGTCTGGTGACCTAAGTGTCGTGTTATTGCAAAAAATGATAATGCCAAACGAAAGAGTAATAATCAATGCATCCAAGATATGAATTTCAGTTTGATACTTCAAAGTTTTCTATAAAATTTTATTGATTGAAGAAATCCGAGTCACTGTAGCCTACCTGACCCTATTATATCTAGACATGAAATCCGTTTTCACGGTCTATAGCCCGGGCAGATCTTAACATGTGAGGTGTATTATGATCTATACAACAATACCCTACTCAATATACCTAGCAGATAAAAACTATTTTTGGCCCTCTTCACATGTACCTATGAAAAAAACGTATGATTATTTTTTTGCCTGCTTTTCTAAGTCTGGGTTAAAACGATCTATTTTCGCACAAAATTTGAAATTCATGTGGGCGCTGCGCATTCAGACACGCAGACAAACTGACTACATAACCCTAAAAGAATTCGGAAAAGTTTTATAAATTATGACCGGCTCCATCAAAAAATTTAAACCAATAAAGTTGTATGAAGCGGCGGCGGTGCAGTGCCATAAAAATGATACAAACTGCAATCGCTTTTGGCGTCTTTTTTATAAGAGTATTTTAGATAAAAACTATGTATTCTAATTCAATCAAATCGCGTGCAACTATCTTTGTTCTGTGGTTCTTTGTGAAGTCAAAAACTCGTTCTCATAAAGCACCACCGCGCGGGCAACATTATTAATACCTGAGTACTGTTTTATTAGGACAAATACAATCATAAAAATGTAAATAAAATATGTTTTTGTCGAAGATCTAATAAAACATCGCAAAAATTTCGGCGAAATATTATTGGCTGTTTCTTTCCGGCGCAGCGCAAATGCAAGGGACAAACTTTTCAGGAAAACGGGCGCTTCGGGCTTACAATGGCTTACACTGGGATAGGTATTGCAGTGATTATTGAACAAAGCATTTATAAGTAACTTAGGCACGTTTATAAGTAAGTGCTTAGGTAGGTAAAATATGTAACTACAAGCTGTGTGGGCCGAGAAGTGAATTCAGTTCAGACTCAGAGTCAGAAGAGCTTAGGGTGGAAAACTTGTATAACGAACTTTCAGCATTTCAAAAAGTAAGGAAATCTATCTAAACTCACCGGATAGAATCAGGCTGTGCTTCTGTGGATCAATGAGTGCGTTCATTTTAATTGTAGAAAATAAAAACTAAATAACGAGAGAAATCACGACTTCCGCGTCACACTTCCGAGTGCACACACAAAAAAAAACGGAGATGTCGCGCGTGCAAGGTCCACGCGACGAATGAGTATGTAGGTACCGTTACTCGAGTAAATCAGTGGGGTTGAAATAATAATAAATATAAGTAGGAGATTTGAAGGTGGGTCTTGATCGGTGGGGTCCGCGGGTAGCGGGCAGATGCACGTCGCGGCGTGGGAACGGGGGTGGCGCGCGTCAAGCAAGACTCCCGCCAGGCAGCTGCTGGTGTCTTAGCCTCGCTCACGAGAAAGTCAATCTTCTTCTTTTTGAGTGGGACACCGAGACGTCTAAGCCGATGAACCTTAGTGTCAGAGTTATTTCAACCGCCTGTTACAAATAGCAGGCCTCTGACATGACACAGCAACCGGGACCGACGACTTAACGTGCCCTCTGAAGCCATCTTGCTTTTGGACAGTCAGGTGGTTCAGCCTGCAATGTCCAATCCTAACCAAATTGGGAACAAATTCACAAAGTTTTAAATATCAACTAGTGACCCATAGCAGATATTATTATTAAGACTGTGAGGGCCATTACGATTAACTAAATAAAGTGACCCACCGGGAATCGAAGCTGGAACCTTCTGCGTGGCAGGCAGTCGCTCTACCACTACGCCATATCACGCCATATCAGCTGTCGACGACAAAGCCAATCAAGCACCAAGTAAAATAGATCCTTACCTTGATCTTTTCCGATAGAATATGAAACCTGAAGCATGTTCGGAATTCTTCCAGCCGTGTGGGACATCGAGTACCAAACAATACAATTGCTGTGTAATTGTAATATAATAAGTATATAGATAGGTACTTCTTGTCAATGTAAACCACTTTCTTCGTAATGTGAACGCTCCTAATCACTCGTAATCCTTTTAATGCTGCGTTCTGCTAGTTTTCCCTACTTTTGTTCGGTAAAATTCTGAAGCTAAAATTGTAAAATCAAACTACAGAGTCAAAATCTCAGGTCAATATAGTCAAAGCTGAAAGTCTGAAACTATGGTCTGAAAGCAATCTTCTTCTGTGACCTTCTTGTTTTGTCGTGCTAGACTTGTCATCATGAAAACCGTAAGTAATTTTATGGTTCCGTAATTAAATAAAAATAAAACAGACAACGAAGACGCCGTTCTTCTTTGATCTTCTGTATATATTTTTATTAATTAAGTAGATATCTACAACAAATACATTATCACGTATATACCTACATTACATACTAAATAGAAAACTAAACAAAAAATGCCAAAATCCTTTCATGAGAGTGCAACAAGCGAGCGTGAGTGTGAGAGGGGTTTAACCTGTTGAGCCTGTACTCGGTGGCCTAGCCGCACCGCACCGCATAGCGGCGCATTTTTATATGCGCTGCCTACTTGCGCTCGCCACGCAGTACATTGATGCATGGAATGCAAGCTTGCATCCTCCATGTGATGCGAATGCATTGATGGATGGTTCGGTCAAAATCTCTACAATACAGCGTCAGGAGATATAATGAATACGGGGCTCGGCGGCTACGATCATATTTGCTACGCCGCCACTCCTATCGTAGCACGATGTGTTTACTAGAAACTTGTTTATTTTTCTTCATGCCGTGAAGTGCTTGGTGTTAGCCAAGAAAAATATGCACCTATCTAGGCACATGGGAGTCATGAAAGTAGTCTAGGGAAATAGTACAACAGAACTATATACAGTGTGGGATCGAACGACGGACTTTCCCGAAAACTGAGCTCAGCTCAGCTCTGCTTATGTTTAATGTTTAAAATGCTATCTCTGCTATACGTTACTGTATAGTACCCTTACTAACTGGGTGCCATTTCATTGTATTGTACTTAATAATGGATGGTATTTAACTGTGCCTCAATTTATTCTTGTTTTTTCCATCAATTTTTGCCATTTTTCTATCAAAAATACTGATTGTGCACAAAAATATGCTCACATAAATATTTCTTAATGAGCTCTTATTTAAAGACTGTTGCAAATATGTAAAACTAATAATTCACCTAATTTATTAAATGATTGTTTTTTAATTAAGTTTAACTTCAAACAATGTTCTGCAAAGTATATTTAAATCAAACATCAATTAAATCACAATGTAGTTTTATTTATTACAAATTATCACGTAATAAAGCGAAATGCTAATCTTCAAAGCTATTTTGTACTAATCAGTATTAATCAAAAATAAAACAAAATTATAACAAAAGTCTTTACTATTACAATGTTTTATTTGTCAATACACATAATGAGTTCAGTTATTTAGGATTTTGTACAAGAAACCTTTACCATTTCGTCAAGCCTGTCCTGTATGTCTACCTGTATGCCGCGCCCACATAATTAAGTTTAAAACCGATCGACAAAAAATTTTGAAATGATAGAAAAAGATAAAAAAAATATTGGACCCCCTCCTATACACGTAAAAGGGGGGGCAAAACATTTTTTTTTCTTTTAATATTGAGCAGGGTATCGTTGAATAGATCTTCTTAAACTGAGTGGAGGTTTTTTTAAAACAAAGTCTTTAAAATCTTTCTGTCTTGAGATATTTGTATTTAATAGGGGCCATATTATTAAGCCATAATTTGTTCCATCTGTGACTTCTAAAGTACCTATCAATTCCAAAAAAAAATGAAAACGATGTGGAATATATTTCTCAACCCAAAATAACTCAGAAAATCTGATAATTTTTAAACGATGACTACGCAATCCTATTTTGGGCGTGTCTGACAAGCTCTTGGCCTGTTTTTTATTATAATTGCACTAATAAGTCGCGAGGAAGCAAGAGAGCAACGCGCCGCAAACGCGCGAATTGTTTTATAAGTAATTTTAATGTTTTTTCAGAATTAATGTAGTACGAAAGACATTATTAGTTGTCCAATAATAATTATTTAAGTAACATAAACGTTGTACAAAACTGTTTAAAATATGGGTACGATTTTAAGATTCGTAATAGATATTTTGTGTATCAATTCAGAAAAAAATGTGCAACATTAGTATATTTTGGGCAAGAATAATATACCTACTGTAATAATAGAATATTTGCTGCGCGTGAGAATAAAAATGTGTTACATATTGGTGCAAATTTTGAAAATGTTTGGCGCAACAAATTTTGATAACGGATTAGTTTAATTGTGGCAAAATAATTTTAAGTGTTTTAGAATAATATTTTAGAGGGAAGTACATATGTGTAGGATAAGATGTTTGATGCAAGGTTTAATATTATCCCTTAATAATTATGTAAGTTTAGTACCTAATATATAAGTAGATCTCAAATGACAATGCAAATGAAGACCAGGATTATTTCCAAGAAACAAAGGACCAAAAAAATAACCTCGCATAGAAAATTGTTTGGTCAGCTGGTATTTTTAAATATACTTTGACCTTTTATCCATAAGGAAAGTTGTTCAGTTTGACCTGTTGAGATCAGTGTTTGCAGAAAAGACCATCGTTCAGTACCACCGTGTGTGTAATTCTGTGTGTGGATAAAACCTGAACATTAAGATATAGGATCCAGCGCAAAGGAACGCCATACGATATGATGATGATAAGTAAGTTTTTTTTTTTGCAAATATTAGCACTTAACTACTTAGTAATGAGGGTTTATGGCACCAGAATAAGCACGTCATATTATTTCGCTTCACATTAATAAGTCAGTCAGGCAGGCACCAGCTAGTATTTTATTGAATTAACCCTAAGTAAGAATTATTTATTCTAGCTCCGACTAATAGTTTTGTTTTGTAAGGGCAGGTGTGCGCCGGCGCCGCCGCCGCCTCCGTGAGAAAGCGCCCCTCATCGGAGCGGCCACTGGGAAGCGCTTCACGGGGGCGCTAATTCGATACTGACTCGTAAATAAAATACAAAAGCTGTATGCTACAAACTATTGTCCTAAAATACTACATACCTCATTCATCATTTTGCAAAATATTAAAAGTTAGAATAATTATAAAAGTTTTTGTCTTGACGCTATCCAAAATATTGAATTTAGTATGACAATATATCCAAAATATTGAAAATTTCGTTTCAGATCGTTCTTAAAAGTAAGTATGTACGTAAGAATATTTTTGTGATCATCTCAAAAAATAACACGGGTGATGAAGATTTGATATTCGCCAGGTCTGAAGTCCAGTCAAATCTAGAATAGGTAAAAATGAAAACCATTAAATCTTGTAAATATCCCGTAAATAAAAAGTAATTCTGCCCAGTACAGATTTTTCATTGTGTTCAAATACAAACTTTGCGATCCGATTAAACTTATTCCACCCCAAGGTAATACGCAGCCAGTAGTATGGGCAGGTGTGCGCAAGCGCATGGTATAGTATCGTAATGGAAGGTAGGGCGGAGGGTTCCGCTACTCCGCGCAAGCAGTTCCCAGGTTCCCACGCATACGCCGCAATCACTTGCCTTTTCTTTGGGGGGTGTGAAAATATTAATAATAACAAGTAAAAGTTATTTGAACGGTACTTATTTATGATTCTTGCGCACGCATACCTATACTTTAGGTACTGCCTAGTCTTGATTGCCTATTTGGTCCTTCTTCATGAACATTTTCGCTATTCGGAAGATGAGTTTGTGACGACTGTTTTGTAGTTCATTTCTCGCAGTTTTTTTTATAGTTTCAAAGCATACTTACGTACACCAGGGCTTTACCATATTAATAATAATAATACAGGGTGGTATGGAACCAATCAACCAGATTTTCCTAAATTTTTCGGACATTATAACTTGGGATATTTTCAAGGCAAAAGTGAATAGATTGGCACTTCCTAGGCAAGCATGCTTTAACATTGTCTGCGGCATCATCACTTACCAATAGGTGAGATAAAAACGTGCTGAAGTCAAAAATTAACCACTTTACTTAAGAACCAAAGTTTAAATAATAATAAAAAATGGGCAAACCGAAAAAAATGACTAGCAGACCGAACAAACTTTGGTGGGCTGATCTATGTTCTTTGGAAAAAATTGTTCAGTTTCATGAGCACCTTGACCTCTTTTCGGCTTGCTATACCCTTTCCGTACAGTACACCGACCGTTCCTTACCATGTAGGTACAGTTTAGGACTGTAGCGCAATGTTATGGTGTATTATCATCCCCCAACTGGAATTTGTATAAGGTCTGTAATCTGTAGTGTGGCTACTAGGGGGCGAGCAGGTGTGCCCTTGCGTCGCGTCACGAACTGTTAGCAGCGAAACCCTTATTACACGTTAGGCAACCCTGCCACATTAAACTTACATTGCCGATTACCTTGTGTGTGTCCTTTAGATTGTGTATGTCAGACTGCAATGTAGGCCAAAATGCGTTGCACCCTGGATCTTGTGTTCAAGGCGGACTTAGGCGGAGGGTTTTGCAGTGCGAGGCCCGTTCCCACGACTTGGCGACTCCTTTTGTAACACCGCGTCATTCTTCTCGGGATAATTTATACCTAACTACTTGGGGCGCTTTGTTTGCTTGTAGATGAAAGCTATTATGAGAGCAGACGGAGAGGGACTGCGGCTGATTCGTCACATACTCACATTTGAGTACAATGGTCATTTATTTCTGACTAAATTTAATGAAATGTCACTTCAGCACGACATTTTTTTATTTATTAAACTTAATTGCACAGAAAGTACAAAAGGTGGGCCTTATACCAAACGGCATTCTCTACC